TTTGTTTTTATTAGTTTCCTTATGCATTTTTTCTGTATTTTTGCACCATTTCAAATTAATTTCGGTGGAATTTCGATTTGTTTTGCTTTATATATTATTACAGGTCTTTTGGCATCACTATTTCATATCATCGAAATCTTACCCATAAGAGTTTTAAAGTTTCCAAATGGCTTGAATACTTGTTTGCTTATTGTGGAGTTCATGCTCTTCAGGTTCAATAACTGACCAACTTTATTCTTCTAATATTATAACTCTCAAATTAGTTGGTTGATTAATTCTAAAGCATATCATGATTTTTGTTGATAGGGTGATCCAATCTCTTGGGTGAGCACACATAGATATCATCATCAATACGTTGATACTGCAAAAGATCCACATAGTCCGATTAAAGGATTTTGGTTTAGTCATCTTACCTGGTATTTTCATAAGAGGGATCAAAGCGTTAGTGAAAATACTACCGATTTGGAGAAGCAAACATTCTATAGGTTTCTTCACCAAACATATTTACTTCATCCAATTGCTCTTGCAGCCATACTTTATAGCATTGGAGGCCCTCCTTTCCTCATTTGGGGAATGGTAACATAAAACACCTTTGTCTTCCTTTGTTTATTTCCTTTTACTTCATTTATTTATTTCCTTTTAGTTACAATTTTATATGTTTTGATAATTTGATAAATAACTTTACAAGAATGATATGAATTTGATCAAATAACACTCAGGGTTATTTTACTTTTTCCCTCTGAATTTTTAGAAATTATATTTCTTTATAACCCAACAAACTTAAATAACTCAATTAAAGTAATACATATATGATATGATTTTAAAAATTTTAAAAATAAATAAGTAATGTATTTTTATCAGTAGTATTATGAATTATATGACATATTATTCTTTTTGTTTGGCAGTGTGTGAGAATTGTAATGGTTTTACACATAACATTCTTCGTGAATTTGGTATGCCACATGTGGGGAAAGCAACCATGGAAAATAAACGACTTATCTCGAAACAATTCGTACGTATCTTGTGCCCATCTTTGTAACAATACTCAAATGATCAAATTAATTATTGTATGAGCTTTTGCTTCATCATATATATGTACTTCAATTATGATAAAAATGTAAGATTGAATCATCGACTTTTAGGATGGTGATTAGTATTTTATTGATTAATTTATAAGTAACTTTTGACTACGTATTAAAATTATTAACATATTTTATGAACGTACCTATCGATTATTATTTGCTAAAATATTATTTTTGTTTTATATTTATTAAGTAATCAATGTTTATATTAATAATAGAGTTATATCTTTGCTGTTTATATAAACTTTTGTGGGTTTTATTTTCCATAGGTTGATAAGTTTGCTTGCATTTGGAGAAGGTTGGCACAATAACCACTATGCCTTTGAATATTCAGCTAGGTTGGGCATTGAATGGTGGCAATATGACCCTGGTTGGTATGTCATTGTGCTTCTTCAAGCCATTGGAGTGGCCACTCATGTCAAATTGCCATCTCAAACCCATATGCAAAAGTTGGCCAATGATTAACTAAGAGAAGCCTTTCTTTAAGTGATGTATTATATGGAAATAATTATGCTTCTAAGAATAATGTGGAATAATGTGAAATAAAAGAAATGCCAATATAAATGGTTGCTACTATTATAATCGATCTTTATGCAACAATTTACTTTATGACCTTGGAGGTATGATTATCTAAAGACTCTAGATTTCTGTTAACCTAAAATCATTATTGTCATCATCTGTACCTTTATGTGGAATTAAACGTTTAAAACTTCATCTTAAAACACTGTCATGGACTTACGTGTTCGAAAACATCTTAAAACAACATAAAAGAAATAATAAATAAAATAATTAAAACACTAAAAGTAAAAACGTCATATACTATCCTAAGTCTAAGAAAATAAAATACTACTGTCCTATGCACTTGTCATGGTCTCTTCTTGCAATGTCGCTGTCAGACGTGTAGGGATGCCTGGTGTCAGAGAATGCAAATACATGTTACTCATGATCTCGGGACTTATCTTAAAACCATCATAGGGGTGACCTCCAGTCTGAATGAAATTGGATGTGTAGTACTTCCCTACACACGACCCACACGTGCAAGCGTAAACTCCCAAGTGGATCGAATCTCCTGAACCCATCATAATCGTGCTAGCTGTCCATAGAGATGTCTAGAAGTTAACAGACTCTTGAGTGTCATATGAGATATGATGATGATCATCATAATGTACGCATCTAGCATATATTAATCATCCTTATAAGTACTGCTCACTACATGCTCCTCCTATTCGTGATCACCCTATGCTCCAAATCTCAACAAATTTTACAAATTAATCCTAATTCAAGTCTCAATATAATTAGCATCAAAATTGGATCGAAAACCAACAACAAAAGTTGAATGGAAGGGAAAACAACTCACTATGGACCTATCACATGCCTCACACTCCTTAATGCAACCACACACGGACTCATGCGTGATTAATTCACGTATGCACCATATTTTTTTTCTTTTGAATTTTCAAATTCTACACCTCATGTATGAAACGTGCTTACATATGAATGTCAAACAATTTTTTTAGAAATTCAAGATTTCCTTCTTTTTCATGAAATTCTTATGATTTTGGTATCTTTTTCTATAGAACTCTAGAATCCAACCAAATTTAATTTCATTTATTTATTAACTTAAAATTTAAAAAGAAAAGTTAGGAAAGTTCATACCCTTTCTAACTCGAATCTTACCATAGCATTTGTATGGTAACATTAAGTTACATCTTAAGAGAATGGCTACTACAATTGTACAATAGCTAGGATAGAGCGATTAAAAAAAGTGAATTATTTTAAAGTTATAATGAATTACATGATCATAATGGACCATTTTCAAATAGGTATGTGCCCTTAACCTAGATAATAACTACGTACCCATGAGGTGGTGAAGCTTCCATAACTAGAGCAAGCCCACTCTAATGGATGCATCAAGACAACCAATGAGAATTGTAAAGCCTCCAATGTCATTGCGTAAGAGAAAAGGGACCAAGATAATTAAAAAAAAAAAAGGCTTTTGTTTTTTTCTTTTTACATTTTCTTTATTTTTTTTTTTCGGATTGTCCTTTACTTTGTTTTACCTTATATATATATTATTACAAGTCTCTTTGGCATCATACTTTCCTATCATCAAAATATTTCACATAAAACTTTCAAAGTTCTTAAATGGTTTGAACACATTATTATTATTATTTTTTTTTTTATTTATTATTTTTTTTTTTGGACTTCATAAATTTCAGAGTATTTAACACACCTTATTCATGTACTTTTACAAGTGGTTAAGTTAGATGCAAAACAGATTTAAAAACAAATTGATTAGTTCTAAAGTATTTGAAGATTTATGTTTTTTTAATATTTTTTAAATATGGTGAGTCAATCTATCGAGTGAGCCCACATCGATATCATCATTAGTTCTTTGATAATGAAAAAGACGAACAATCCAATTAATAGATTTTGGTTTAGTCATCTTAGGTGAAAATTTTGGAGTGCTGTAAGATGAATCATGCAGAAGACCTTTTACTATAGATGGAAAATCTGTAGAGGAATTTAGTTTTTCTTTTTGGGAGGAAAAATGAGGAGAGAGATTTTGGCGGAGGGTGGAATTGATGACGTATGGATTTAAGAATTATAAATTTTAATGATACAAAATTAATTATAAAGGCAATTGAAAAATTAACTTTTTACGAATTATTCGTATTACAATTGGGTCAAAAGTTTGTTTTACCACTGCAATTGAATATTTCACTAAGTATTCTTGATCCTTTAATAAACTATTTGCTAATCATTCAATCATAAACTGCGTCTCTTTCGAACGATTGAAAGGAGAAGGGTCCATTCTTCAAGTCTTGAAATCAACACTTGAACTATTCAGATACTTTTCTTTACCGGAAAAAAAGTGAATTTCATCTAGTACATTTATGTTCACAACCCGTCACAAATTCAATAAAGGATAAATTTTCACGGTCAAGAGTTCATAGCTCAACCTAGATTAAAATCGAATCCCATATAAATCATCTTATAAAATATTAATCTTCTCCAATAACGAATTTAGAAAAGATTAAATATTAGTAGGTATTGATTATTCTTGATGGATGCTATGAATATAGCTATTTTATAAGCCATAAATGATATTACCAATTTGAAACTCACTAACACTAAAGCTAAGGGGCCATAGGTTGGGTGGCGTAGGGTAAAATATTCAAACCCAACTCCTTAGATTGCTCCACCAACATGTTATCTCTCCATTTAATAACTAATTCCCTCACATACAAGCTAGAACTCAGAATGGCAATTCCAGCTATAGAATTGAAATCCACGATATTAATGAATTTTGAGTTAACTCAACAAAGATCAAACCCGACATATGCAGGAGATCGGTAATTTTGATTCGTTTCTAAGAAGAACAATTCCTTCTTTGTTTTTTGTTTCCTTCTGTCTCCCCAAAATTTCAAGGATGGTTGGGAAGGAGTCCCGCATTAGCTAATTCTTGAAATGATCATGGATTTATAAATAAGAAATACATCTCTATTACTCTTAGGTCTTTTTGAAAAGCTCAAAGCAAAGCTACAAGAACTTAGACTAATTTTGAGAACTTCTAATGGAACGGAAGAACTGAACTTATTAACTTTACTTTACCAACAGGTTAGCTCCACTTTATAACCTAACTCATCAATCCAATCCAAACCCCCTCAAGCTATGCTAAAATTAATAGTGGAATATAATATAGTTGTTCTTTAAAATAGTGAAAATAATTAGTTTAAATGTATCATAAATGATTATTATTGTTGTTATTATATATAGCTATGTATTTGTCCATGATATTTGACGATTATGAAGCAGGTATATTGCACTTAAATAAGCTATACATTTAGTTGGAAGAGCCTTAAATTTTTACATTGAGATTTAAAAGTTTCACTATAAATACATATGCAAGAGGAGGTGGTGAAGCCTCCTCATCTAGAGCAACCCCACTTTAATGGATGCATCAAGAGAACCAAAGAGAATTGTGAAGCCTCCAATGTCATTTGGGAAGAGAAAATGGCCCAAGATAAAGAAAAAAATTGTTTTCATTCTTTTCTTTATGCATTTTTTCTGTATTTTTGCTCCCTTTCAAGTCAATTTGGGTGCAATTTCGATTTGCTTTGCCTTATATAATATTACAGGTCTTTTTGGACTCACTATTTCATATCATCGGAATCTTACACATAAAAGTTTCGTACTTCCGAAATGGCTTGAATACTTGTTTGCATATTGTGGTGTTCATAGTTTTCAGGTTTGACAAACTTTATTCTCAAATTAAATGCATTCAAGATTGATTTTAAAAGCACGTTGATTAGTTCTAAATATTTGTTGATAGGGTGATCCAATCTATTGGGTCAGCACACATAGATATCATCATCAATATGTTGATACTCCAAAAGATCCACATAGTCCAATTAAAGGATTTTGGTATAGTCATCTTACTTGGTATCTTCATAAAAGGGATCGAAGCGTTAATGAAATGATTCCGAGACGTCGAAAATGGGAAAATGCTACAGATTTGGAGAAGCAAACATTCTATAGGTTTCTTCACAAAACATATATATATCATCCAATTGCTCTTGCGGTCATACTTTATAGCATTGGAGGCGCTCCTTTCCTCATTTGGGGAATGGTATGAAAAAAACACCTCTTTCTTCATCGGTTTATTTCCTTTTAGTTACAATTTTATATGTTATGATAATTTGATAAATAACTTTACAAAAATACTTTCAATTTGATCAAATAACACGTCCGGTTATTTTACTTTTTAGCTCAATTTTTAGAAATTAAATTTGTTTATAACCTAAATATTACAAAGCTCCGAATTCAACTAAACGAATATATATGAAATATGATTTTAAATATTTTTAGAAATAAATAAAGTAGATATTGTGATTATTAGAAATATGGGGTATAAAATGTGACATATTATTCTTTTTGTTCGACAGTGTGTGAGAATTGTAGTGGGTTTACATGCAACATTCTTGGTGAATTCAGTATCTCATATGTGGGGAAAGAAACCATGGAAAACGAACGATTTATCAAGAAACAATTGGTATGTATCGTTGTTGAGTAAAGGATTACCAAATCAATTTAGAGTTTGTATTTTTAATAAATTTTAAAAACAGTTCTCCTCGAAATTAAAAGAAAAGTGACTTTTAATTAAAAAATTTAAATTTAATCTCTTTCCATAAATCTTAAAAATAGTTTATATATTATTTTTGCCAAACAAAAGATGATCTCATTGGTCTTTCCTTCTATAAAATTTCAATACATTTTTACATAGTTCTCTTCCTGAAATTTATTACTATTATTCCCAATTTAGATAAAACTTAAAGTCTGAACATCTAAATTTAAATTTTAGAATCGCTAATTGAATTATATTTTTCTATTTATCATAATCTTTTTTTTTTTTTTTTTTTTTTTA